ATCCAGAGCTACAGATTTTTAATATTTTTATCATTATTTAAATGACAATATTATTGTCTATTGATAAAATACATGTACATTACTGTCGGTTTTATTTCTAACAGCATCCCCAGTTGTCATCTGCATAATTTTCATTACTATCGTCATAATAATAATTATTATTATTGGATAAAAAAGAACACATATACATCAGCTACTAATCGTAAACACATTTTAAGAAAAAATGTGTATTTTTTCTTTCTCAAATTGCTATTGCTCATGTAAGATTTAATTTTGGAGGGACGAACCCCAGGGGTATATGAGAGGTAAACTACCTCTTTTAAGTGTCTCTGATCAAATTTCTGTTTTTTCAACCCTATGCTGATGAGAAGTTATTGTTCCTATTGTAATTGTCGGAGTATTAGGATTATATTGTTCATTGTAACCATTTAAAAGAAAAGTATTTTTAGGAGGGGAGGGATTGGCTTCAGTCGAAAAACCTCTCCTCTTGTAATAGAGATCTTTAAGATTTAACAATGTCAACTAAATTCTATAAGTTAAATTATTGTATTTATGATTTATGATTGTATTTTTTTCAATAATTTAATGTTGATTCTGAAGCAATTATAAAATATTTTTATAAATTAATAACGAATAAAAAATTAAATAAAAATATAAATGTGCTATAATTTGATTATTTAAACTTTAGTATCTTTCTTATAATGAGGAGTTTTTGAAAAGGGAGAGAATTATTCTTCCCACATTCTACTATAAAACGATGGTAGCGATGATAAGAGTTAAAAATAAATAGGATATCAAGAATAATTTTATTTTTCTTTGTGATACGATTATAAACATTACTGTTTTGTAATATAGTAGTACATGTTTTAACATTTCTTAAAAAAACATATATAGCTTTCTTATTTTTTTTTTTTTTTTTATAAATACTTTTTGATTTTCTATTAGAAAATTTTCAATCGTATTATTTTTGTCTATGTTTTTTACTTAAATAAAAATGTACCACAATTTAATCATTTAAACTTTTATGTATTTCTTTAATAAGTTCAGGTTTGACAGTTACGTGATCTCACACTTTTGTTTACGATTAGTTGTTATAGAGGCATTTTAAATTTGTTGATCATTTACATTAATTAATCAATATCCAAATAATAATTAGAATAGAAAAAACAACTTTATTCATTATAAAATAGTATCACTTTATATAATTAATTGGGACGAAGTCCTTAAGATTACTTCTGACCTAAAGATCAGTTACATTAAGTAAACAAAAAGAAGAAGGAAGTAAATTCTTTACATACAAAACAAATAAAACTATTAACAAAACCAATGAAAAATTATAAAACAATATATTTTCAACTAAAAAAAAAAAAAAATAGAAACAATTTAAAGTTCTATAATAGAAAAACAAAAAGTCTTTATAAAAAAAAAAAAAAGGAGGAAACTTATATATGTTGTTTAATAAATGTTAAAGCATATTCTACTATTCTATGTGTATTACAGTTTATAATCATACCATAAAGAAAAAAGAAATCCTCATTTCTATCATTTTATAGTTAAATCTGGAAATAATAATTCCCTCCCTTAACTCAACCTCCTCATCATAAGAAAGAAATAAAAGATTAAATAATTATATCATGGTATTTTTATGTTTATATTTAAATTTTCATCATTATTTATTTATAATTCATAAGAATCTTTTATAATTTCTTTATAATCAAGTAGAAAATTTATCAATTTATTTTTGTACATTATGGAGAAAAATTAAAATTAAAATAATTTTAAAAATTCTAAGCCAAATCCATTTTGAACTTAGAATTTAGATGATAATGTTGAATCTTAAAGATCTCTATTCTCCAATAATGTTTCTTCAAATGGATGGATTTTGATGATTTTCTTCTCCTTCAGTAAAAAATAAAAACATATTTCCCTTTAAATTCTGGGGAAAAGTTATGAAGAATAGCCAACAATTATTGGCTTGAAGTCATACCCATGATAATTTGGAAGGTTTTTAATTTCCCTAAGAAATGGGAGAGGGAGAGAAAGGGGAATACGTTTTTATACATTTTAGAGATTTTTTTCCAAGCAGTGTTATTATTTTACTACCTCCATTATTACAATTATGAAATAATTTTTTTATTATTAAATGAGTAATAGTTATTGACACCTTTACGTTTTTAAACTAACAAATATGTTATAACTTTTTTTTACTCCAAAAGATTAAAACCTTTTTATTGTTAATAATATCAAAGTATGGTGGTTTCACAACAGATGTCGCGACGGTATTCATTCCAATACTTTCATTTCAAATACGCATTTGAACTGCTTTAAGTTAATCACATTTTAGATAAGTATTACTGAATTGTTTTAAGTTAATCACATAAGTTGAGGAAATAAAAAAATACGTTTTAACGCCGAATTTCCTTGAGGGTGATGTTCGCCACGGATAATCGGTTCCTTAATGTTTTTGTAAACTTTGAATTGGGTATCTAATTTATTACTTGGTTTATTTACTTGCGGATACATGCATGCGGATAAAGGAATTAATTTTTAGAGAACTTCAGTCCGAAATTTTTTTTTATATATGCATATAAAATGATAATTACTTTGGAAGAAAAAGAAGAAACTAGCTACCTATAAGAAATAGCATTTAAGTGATTCTTAAGGTCCTATTAAATGTAATTAATGAACAATAAAACTTGTTAGAGATAATGTTTTACGTAATATATGGGTATATTTTACCATTTTGAGTGGTAGAGAGAGCTTCAGGCTGCAAGCTAGACAGATTGTTTAGAGATATGGAATGAAAGACGGAGGTCGCTTATTGACGATCTTTCCAACACAACATTATCGTGGGTGGGAAGGCCGAACTGGATAACACGTGTGCACAGCACTGCCGTTGCCCGGCAACCTGATATATAAGACAATTGATAAAAAATAGTCACTAGTTCGCGTCCCGGTGCCGAGGAAGTCTTTTAAATCCCCGCCGAGTCTTTCAAAATGGCGGCCGAAATACCCGTGTCTCTGTAGACTGTAGTGCCGAAACGGTTGTAGTGAAACATAATAAAATTAAAATAAAATGATCGAAATTGGTCAATTTGGTGCAGAGATATGACGTTTTGAACTTTTTGATTATGTTCTAATGCAATGTCCATTTTTTTCGATCTTAGCTCGGAAGTATTAATTCGATTTTACTGTTTGAAAAACAATTCTGTTTTCTGAATATTTTTAACCAAAAATGAAAAATAATTATGAGCCAATTTTACTACTCATTTTTTCCCAGATGTGGTTAGTAATGTAATCTGACACGCCACACATGTTTAATACATAACCATTTGAAAATAATATATTTTTAAAAAAATTTCTTTTCCAATTTCTTACAAAACATGCCACTGAGTGCTTTTGTTCTTTTGAGACAGTAAATTCAACATTGCTTTTATAAGCCTTCTTGTGTTGCCGTCAACAATTTCGTGTATATGCTCTTGAAGGTATTGATGATTATTGGCGAGTACTGTTTTCATAATGACACTAACAATTTTGTACTAGATATTAAAACACCAATTTAGTAATTGAAAATTATTTTATGTGCCGTTTTTTTCTTTTTTTTTTCCTAATCTCTTTGCAGAAAGAAAATACCGTTAATATTAAAATACTTTTTTTTAAGGGATAATATTGCTCCAATAACACATAATGTTTGATGTTGCTATGTAAGTATGTGACGCACCAGTTCTTGTCGGTAAATTCGCTAAATGCATTGTTATGAAAGAGGCATCTTACAATCGGTGGGTTCAAAGTTCAGTGGAAAGATAAACTCAAGTTGTCTATTATTTTTCTTTCTTCTCGTCTGATTTTCCGTTAGGCAATTAATTTAACTCAAACTTCAACTGCTGGATTGCTTTTTCTGAAAGTATAAAGGAGACTGAATTCTCTATGTCTTTCAAATCCTATTTATGATTACGAGGTAAATATCATTTGTTTAAGCATCTCTTCGTTTGCGTAAATTCTATAAATGTGACTGAGAACATGCACAAAGAATTACTTTGTTCCAGTAAATGTTACCTGACAATTGATACTAATTGTTCCATTTAATTAATTTCCTATGATTTTTTTTTCAATTTTCAAATTCCTAACAATATCATATTATATATATTAATTACATTTTTCTAAGTATATAATGAACGTATGTGCTTTGGAATTTATATGGAATAAAAATTTATTTTTGAATTTTAGATGAATTACTTTTCTCTTGTGATAGCTGCCATGCGTAACAAACTCTACTTCAGATCGTATAACTAAAATTTTATACACTAAGTTTTGATAACCATATAAAATTGATGTGGCTGAATTTGAAGAAACGACTAAGATTTGTTCTCTTAAGACAACCGCAAATCTAATAGTTTACTAATTTGATATTTTACTGTTGATTCAGGGATGTAGGCTCATTATTTGGTTGAAATATATAAATTTATTTGTAAAACTAATTCAGGTATGCCTGTGTCTAAGATGTTTATTTTTATTACTTTTTTTTTAAAGAAAATTTTATTCATTTATTTTTATTTTATTATTACTATTATTTATATTTTTCTTCCTTCACTATGATATTTTATTTTGTTCTTATTTAGCTTTATATTATATTGAAATTACCTTGTTTATTTTGATTTTGTGAATATGGTGTGAATGTGCTCTCTGAACTCTATTATAAATGTCCTTTATTGAGACATATTGTAATATCTATCAATAAACAAAGAATCCAAAACCGATTCATAAATATTAAATTTTATACATATTAGAGCATATTGTCTCTAGAAAAAGGAATATCAACTACATATTCTACAGCAAACAATGATAATACCATCTACAATTTAAATTGTCGAAGCATTTCGTTTGTATAAATCATAATTACCATCATCAGGCGTAAAACTTATATGTCAATATATCTCGGAACGGGCTTGATTAGGGTTAATAATTTTTTCTGACGAAAAGATTTTTTTTTTTTTTTAATCATAGCAGTTTTATTTTCAAGTTTCGATCCTTACAAGGCAACTTTCATATTTTTCTTTTAAAGTAATTACAGAAAATCATCCAACTGCATTTAAACATTTGACATTTTGTTGTATAATTAATGCCACATCCTAAGATTATTTATAATTTACTTGTATTGGTTGATGGTTAATTTCTTTACCATGACTCGCCAAAATACTTTGGATGAAAAAAATAATTTAGAAAAAATAATAAAATTTATTCAAATAAATAAAATAGAGTTACAATATAAACATATTATTCAATAAGATATATTTAGTATGGATACAACTGCGATTTAGAGCATAGGACGTGAATTATTACTTATTGCAGATTTGTTTGTTTGGATCAGGAACGCACATGAAGAGTGATGTGTCGAAAGAGTTTCCTGTTGGGCAGGATTTGGAGGTTCTTTGCATGTAGACCCTTCCGTCTGCGAGTTTGGTCTCTGAGCAGGTGAAGTACTTGTGGCAATCGGTGGCGTCCGGGACATTACCGTTGCCATGGGCCTGGCAGTCCGGTTCACAAACCTGACTGTTTACGCCGATTTCGTAGTAAGGAGGACATACACCAACAACAAGAGGCTGATCAATGTTCTCTTCGGTCTTGCACATGGCGTAATATCTTGGGAAGTTAGAGTGTTTCATCTTCTTCAACGTGTTTCCGTCACAATTGAACTTACCGCAGGAGCTCGAATCGGTCTGGGTTACACACCGCTTCTGAGCGGCGTTGTAGACAGTTCCATCGCCGATGCACTTAAATAATTTGGATTGGAACTTTTCGTTACAGTAGTGGAACTTTTTGCAATCCGGATCTGGGAAGAAAGCGTTCTTCTCAAGACAAACGAAGTTGTCCTCAGCTCCACAGTCCAAGGATGCGGTGCTGAGGCATGTGCCCGAAGCGGAATCGCAATAAGGACGGTCTTCAGGGCAAGTGATGTCAGTTAAGTGGACAAGAGTGCCATCGTCTTTAGGATGGCAGACTCTGCTGGTGGAGCAATCGGCACAGGAGAAGATCTTGTTACAGACAATATCATCACCGACGAGGGCTAGGGGGTTGTTTAGCTCTAACAACCGCCTTTTTGTTGGGTCTGGTTTCACTTCAACTGCCCACGATGGGTCGGGCAATCTGATCTCCGCGTTGATCGCAACCTGAAAAAAAAATATAAATTTCATTGCGTATAAATATTAACAGTATGAAAAGACCTATTAATAATTATTCTATTATTATAATTGTAATTATTCTATTATTAATATTATTCATAGTTCTACAAAATCTTAATAATTCGAATTATTAATTACATGTTCTGAATTACTTGCTCAATCTTACTGTTCTGTAGGAAGTACATTTCTTAAAATTATAATCCTTTTTAAAAAAGTAAGATCAATATATTTACACTTACTAAGTTAATGAAGTTTTGTAGGTGATAATAGTTATAGTTATTATTTGATATATATATATATATATATATATATATATCTAAAACTATAACTATAATTACTAGCACCCACAAAAATTTATTAATGGCAATTTATATTAGTCTGTAATTCTTAACTGAAAATCGGAACCATGTCCGAGTTAAGCACATAAATATATAAACTGAATCATATATAATTATATTGTTTTCACTGAAACCGTTGATACTGAATTAAATTCGATAATGAAAAACATATTCACTGTAAAAGAATTCACGTGCTTAATCCAATGGTAAAAGTACTTACAAAAGCTGCTAGGAATAATACTGCTGTTAGTACCCTCATGCTGGTAAGATATTGCTACACCAGGAGAACTCTGATAAATCACATACCCGCTTCAGAATATATATCGCTTCAGTTAATGATAAAAATAGCAGATAAGATATCGATAATGTCGTATATTTCCAGATAAGAATTGAGTACTTTGCTGAATTATTTTCGTTACATTGCCATTCCAAGGCGGATCGTAACGTACCATTAATTGCGTTCATGTTTTACCACATAGAAAAATTAATCATTACTTAGCATGCTATCTAAAATGTGGAGAATAGCGCATTGCCTAATTTTAAAAATAAATTATTGAACTTTGAATATAAAATTTTTACATATTTATTTTGATACATTTTTTTAAGCAGGGCTGCTCACTCTCCCCTCTAATGTTTAATATATATGTCGAAAGTTTTACATATTCTATGGAAAAGAAAATTTAAGGGTGTGGTGATAATCATAGATAATGAATGCCAATACAATTCACAATTTGCCGATCACCAGGTCATTATTGCAAATGACGCAGAAGATGCTTCCCTTTTAATGAGGAAGCTGCTGGAAAACTATACGGCTATACTCACGGCAGAAGGCCTGGAAACCAGTTTAACAAAAACAGATTACACGGCATTCAATAATATTGGGAACTCTTTACTAAATGGAAAATGGGATTTAATCCCAACTGATCAATTTAAATATTTAGGCAGATGGTTTACGAAAGGCATTAATGATAAGGTCATCGGAGAAAGAAAATTCACACGCATTTAAAATTTTGTACTGTAGTATAAGGATGTCATGCTCCAAACGAAAAAGACTCATTTCTTGGGAGCACTGTATTCGTTATATGGCTTAGAAAATTGGACCGTTTTTACCGACTCAGCAATATTTAGGTTACAACACGTTTCAAATAGCACCATTAGGGAAACAATAAAAGGACCATTTAACGTCTTATACTCCATTGGGAGAAAAAAGCTGAGTTGGTTTGGAAACGTTATGAGAATGGCGCACGACCGATAGCCCAACAGGATATTTAAACATGTTTCATTGGATAGGAGGGTGAGAGGTCGACTAGAAAAAAGATGGGTAGAAGGTATTCCTGAGCCCATGACAGTTACAGGACTCAGGTAGGAAGACTGCTATGACAAAAAGAAATGGCGGCAGTGCTTATTAGGCTACAACATATAACCATGAAGTGTTGTTATAAAGTCTTTTGTGTGTATATATATATATATATATATATATATATATATATATATATATATATATATATATATAGCTATTGTTATAGCTTATTATATGAAAATGCGAAATTTTGGAATTTAATTACAAATAACTTGTTTCTGAACTTATTATACTTATATCAACAAATCACTATATATATATATCAGGGTCGAGGTGAGAGGTCGACCAGAAAAAAGATGGGTAGAAGGTATTCCTGAGCCCATGACAGTTACAGGACTCAGGTAGGAAGACTACTATGACAGAAAGAAATGGCGGCAGTGCTTATTAGGCTACAAAATATAACCATAAAGTGTTGTTATAAAGTCGTTTGTATATATATATATATATGTCTTTCAGTGCATTTGCTTCGATAGTTTTCAGTTTTCTAATATGGAAAGTAATAAACTATATTCGGTATTGATTTATTAATGTGTTTTTATTATAGGAAGATCTTGAAGGTCTTAGCGGAAGATACATTTCCAATTGAAAGTATTGGTTGAATAATAGCTTATTGTATATATATATATATATATATATATATATATATATATATATAATATATATATATATATATATATATATATATATATATATATATATATATATAAATAGTGATTTGTTGATATGAGTAAAATAAGTTCAGAAACAAGTTATTTCTAATTAAATTCCAAAATTTCGTATTTTCACACAATAAGCTATTACACAACCAATACTTAGTTTTTCGATTGGAAATGTATCTCGCGCTAACGACCTTCAAGATCTTCCTATAGTAAAAATGTTCTTTAAAACCTTTGATAATAATAATAAATACAAAAATCAGCTGTGATAACCAACTGTTTTGGTAATTATCTAGAAAAATCAGTCAAAAAAGATGTAAGAAAAACGGGCTAAATAAAAATCCAAAACATTAATAAATCAATAACGAATATAGTTTATTACTTCCCGTAATAGGAAACTGAAAACTATAGAATCAAATGAACTGAAAGGCATAACAGATTGAAGAGAAATTCAAATAAATTTTTTGAATCAAAATTGATACTGGGATATTGTTTCCCGCCTACTCGCATGTATTTTGTTTTATCTTCATTTACTCATGGGCTGATTTTTTCTGCTTCTCTTGCAACCGTTTTTTGGAGTCTTTCTATTTCCTCTGATTCTGACACAGGCGGATCTAAGGGGAGGCATTCGGGTTGAAGCCTATCCTCCTCCCTCCTCCCCCAAAAATGGTAAAATATAACCATGTCTTATGAAAAAAATATGATTTTTAAAAGTACTATTGTTCGTGTAAATACATTTAATAGCACTTCAAGAATCACTCAAACACCATTTAGGAGTTACTTTCTTTCCTTTTCTTCCTATGTAATTTTCGTTACATTAAAAAAAAAACTTTTGGACTGATGCCCCCCAAAATTATATTCTGGTTCCGCTAGTGGATTGTAATATAGGTAATAGAAATCTAAAATTGATTCGGTAAATAACCTTATACAATACATTTTCAGTTTTACAACCAAATACATATAAAATATATTTTATTTATTGTTAAAAAAATTAAAAATAATAATAACGGGTTTTCGTACCAAAATAGTTTTAGTCTATACTAATCCATAAGGCCTGACATACTATAAAATGTTCGGTTTTTCAGATATCTTCAGTTTCCGAAGGTTTTTGTGCCTTTTCTGATCACTGTGCTTCGTCTTTAGGAGGTCTTTTATCAAATTTTTTTTTTTTTATTGAGAAAAAAAAATACATTTTGCCTCAATTAAGGGCATTGAGTATTTATGATGAATGAAGTACAATCATACCATATATACAATAAAAGAACAACAAGATTATAAGAAAATAAAATAAAATAAAACTTGGGGTAACAGAATAAATCAAACTGGTATAACATTAAATAAAAACTAAAATAAAAAAATAAATAGATAAAAAATAATAAATAAAAACACATTCGAACTTATTTACAATATTTACGGTCAGGCAAGGGAGCTCCGAGTCGGGCCTTTTCCCCCACGTGTGGAGGACAAGGCAAGACTCCAAGAGATCCCAGCGCTTCTCTCTCAGCCGCATCACTAGGATGGGAATCCAGTGGAGACTGAGGGAGGGCACTAAAGCCACATACGCTCATGACTTGGGTGGAGAAGCTGGCCATCACCAGGACTCCAATGACGTCTTTACAAAAGATCTCGAGGCCACTGCCGCTTCAACCTTCGAGGAGGATTGTAGGGATGACTGGAACTAGATAAGGATTGTGCTAAGGGATTAGGATGATAGGTTAGGTTCTGATGAAAATTTGAAAATCGGGATGGAATAACGTCAAGGACATAAGGGATGTTAAGGTCATGATGTAAGGTTTTGTTCGTAATATAATAAGGAGCTTTGACTATTATACGGAGGATTTTAGACTGGAAGGATTGGATGCGTTTGATGTTCGATAATTTAGTTGTCCCCCACAGTTCAAGTCCGTAGGTCCAGATGGGTTTGAGTATGGTCTTGTATATTAATAGTTTGTTTTCAATTGAGAGGTTAGATTTTCTGTTAAGTAGTCTGTATAACTGGCCAAGTCGTCGGTTAAGCTCTTGTCTTTTAAGTCTGGTATGTGGGTTCCATGTTAGTCTTTCTTTATCAAATCAAATATTAGCATACATAAAAATCTCTTTCTTGCTGTTGGACAAATAATTTCCTTTTTTAAATACATATTGATATTTTACGTTAACGATATATGACGTTTAAGTAATCATCAAGGGCTTGAAAAATAAAAATTAATGGTAATTGATTTCCATCATTGAAATATTCAAAATGATTGATTCATTTGCCCAAAATTGGCAATTCATGATGCTGATGATAAAATAAAAATTGTGCTAATAACGCGATTCATAATATGATGTTTTTTCATTTTTAAAAACGTAAAAATGGTTTAAGTTTATAATATATTCCTACTTAATATAAGTTCAAATATATATATATATATATATATATATATATATATATATATATATAAGTTTAGCAATTGTTAAATATGTGACCGTTATGTTGTTTACCCTGTTTCATCTATTTCATTACTTAGTGTTACCCAAATGCGAGACCGAGAGGAGTCTTTGGTCTTCCAAACTCAGTCTTAGTCATGGTCTTGGTCTTGCGCAACAGTCTTATTAGCTTATTACTATAGAGACATTACTGCAATTTTTTAGATAGTAGAAATCTAACTTAGCCCGAATGGAAAATTAGAGGAGCTAAATGCTAAAGTATATTGGTTATAACAATTATTAACATATAATAACTTATATTGTCAAGTATCAGTAACGATTTTGGGCAATATTAATTACATTACTGATTTTAGTTTCTCAGTATTACATATTAGAAGAAATATCAAAATCTATCATTTTTTTCGTTTGATTTAAAAAATTCACGTAAAACTTGTAAGCTCCATTGGTCCCAGTAAAAGTGGTTATTATAAAACTAGCCTTAGTCGTAGGATTTACCCTTCGTTTCTAAGTGCCTCATGATAATCGCCATTTAACATTGTTTCTTTAGTTATGTTAATTGGTTTATGTTATGTAATAGGTGGTTGTCAAAAACCAACATATTTTCACTTTTTTAGCATAATTTATATTACCTCGAATATGTTTTAATCAAAGTATAAATTTTTATTTGTATCGTAATTATTTTTGTGAGAGGCCACTTCCATTCCCATACAGGGGACAACTTGACAGAAAAACGTGAGGTTTGATGTAGTAAAAAAAAATCCAATATATCTCGTACGAATATTCTCAGTGAATTGATTGGCTGCCATCCTCTCCCCAACCCCTCCTTTTGCATATTCATTCCTAGATTCACTATTAGCTCTCATTA